AACAACTCTTATGACGCTCATTCATGGTAGCTTCGTAAGTTATAATGATTAAAAAGTACAAAAAATATTAGTTGACTTTTTATGATAAGATATATATATATTACATGTTAACCCATTTGTATATCCATGTGATCAACGGACTTGCAGAAATGCAGAGTTATTGAAAACGTACATGTTTATTGGATATTGTAAAGCAATTATTCAATATATTTCGTTTACACTCAGAAAAAAGTGGCTCATTATTTTATCGTCACAAAACTAAAGCAGGTTTTAATGTACAATGTACATATGTCTTATTATCTCTTGTTGAATCTTATTTTTGTTCGTAATGTCTTTCTGATCAGTAAAAAATAAGAATTGCTTACTTTGTTTTTAAAATGATAAGTCATCATTATTTCAGGAACTTTACTTAATAATTTATTAGCTTGAGTAATAAACATGTAGTAATCGATTAACGTTTACCCAACTACTATGGTTAATTGCGTTTTCTCTGTGGCCGTTCCAAAGCACTGGTAAAAAGTGTTCAGGAGCGAAAAATATTATGGAATAGTCGAGTTTCAGTCTGAAACAATGATTGGTCAGTTTCCATAACATTCATACATACTAAGCCAGACACGTACAACACTTCACACAAACACATGACGTGTACATGCCTTAAGGTGTCTTGACTTATACAATTAAAATATAATATATAAGTTAAGCACGTATATGTGTTCAGAGCTGCGTACAGCCACAAACTAGCTTCATGCTACTTACAGGGTATACATATATACTTCTATTTAGTAATACATATTTAAGGATTGACCTTGCTTTTGGCGGCGTATACGGTAGCATGAACGCAGTTGGTAACACACAGGTATACGCCAATTGCGTTCATACTACCGTATACACCAGCAACCATCAAAATGAAGGTCAATACTTATAATTAATCGTGGTTGCTAGGATAATCTAGTTCCAGGTTAACTACATCGATATACGCGCAGTGTATTTTTCTCGTTACCGCTTTAGATTGTTTAAATTAAGTTTTATTAGTAGTACAGTTTCATTCATTGATAACGGTCGTTATGTACACGTAACGACACTGATCTGGAAATGACGCGGTCGAACGTCGCAATAGGAAGCCGTCATTGTTCACTTTACCGTCAAAGGATTTTGAATGTGCATCCATGGAATAAGATTATCAGACATAATGGTTCCGAATATGTTCCATGTTTCTAGATGTTGAAGGGACCAAACAATGGCTGTCATCGCACAGTTATCTCGCTGAAGCGTTAACGGCGCCATATTTGAAACGGGTATCAACCCGCCGGGCCTTTTTTCATTGCGTTTACGCTAATCTATACACAGAGTTTACTTATATAGAAATATGTTCCTTCCATTCTCACTACTTTTTTGTTTCCTAACGTAATTGATCATTTTATTTGACTGATTTTATCTTCAGACAGCAGGGGAATACTTTCTATATTAATAAAACCAAGTCTTATATTTTGTAAATGGTTTGGTTTTATTAAGTTAACGTTCTATTAAGAGTAAGGGTGAAATAAGTACGTGCTTTCACACTAAGGTGAGGTTGTGTAGAGGAGGCGGTATGTTGGCCTTGTTGGCTAAAGCTCAGGTGACCTAAAAAGTACCTGCCACATCATCAGTCGTACGCGCGCAAGCGCGCGCCTGCGTCTGTTGATTACGTTTCCGGGGATACAGTAAATGCCGGTCCAATACAAATATCCGGATATCATAATTATTTAATCCTGATTTTTTGTTTATGCAACAGGTTCAATTTTGATTGAAACACTAATAGCAGTATATTTTTTGTCAACATACATCTTATATTTATATCAGTTATACGAAACGTTATGATACAACTGTTTACAAGATGATAATAAACAAAAAAAATAAAGAATACTTTTATGCATGAGAGAAAAGAAAATGCAAAAATATACTTTTACTATTTTTCTTCAACATATGTTTTTCACATGAAAAACGCCTGTTGTACGTACGTTTGCAAAAACGTATATTTTACGGGTGTGGTGTTTTACAACAGGTGTTTTACGCCCGTTATTACACACCCGTTTTACGCATGGTGACCAAAACATGCGTAAAACGTATGAAAAACGTACGTTTTTTCAGGCGTATTTTTTACGCCCGTAAAACACCCATTGCACTTTTTTCCTGTGTATGACATATGCAGTGGGTAACATCAGGTGTTGGATCTATTACCAAGCAAGCAAAAGAGATAAAATTTAATTATCCCATAGGTGGTGATTGGTGTACCTTATTCACGATTGTCGTACATGTTTTGCCTCCCGCTGGGTCTTTCATTTTCCGACACAAATCGTCCCGCTGCGGGGAGTATTACTGGAATGGCTACCGGCTTTTCCCATTAATTATCCTGGAATCGGACATCACTTCCTGAAAATCTGTTGCTCTTAAAACGAGACCCTGCCGCTCACGTAATATATATATACAGGTAACTGGTCATTTAGCCTTTGGGTGAATACGTGTCGTTTATGATTTATGTGTTTGACAATTCATATATATCAATAATTGATACCAATGTCACTAGTGCGCGTGTCGTTTGGAGATATCTCTTTCAGATATCAGCGTGTTACAAAATGGAAAAATAAATCGAAACAAACAAAAACAGATAAGATTTTAGGTACTCCGCCTTTAGGCTGTTTACCAGTAATGATAATCGATGAAAACCAAACTTTATGATTACGACTGATGGTTTCTAATTTGCGCCCACAATTGTAATGGATAAAGGCTGGAAATATCTGCTGCTCTATATCGCCAGTCTTGTGGTTTGGTTTGTTTAGGATTTACGTCCTTGAAGCTGCTAAAGTAACATACTGACTGGGTCCACGGAGACGGAGCCATTTTATCGCTGAAATACCACAACCTGGACACGCGGCTATCGGACAGGGGCAAATACACCAATATACCGCCTCCATGATTACATAACACACCCGACCGCATGTTTTAAATGTTTAAATAACTAAAGCTGTTAAAGGGACATTAAGGCCAATAAACCAAATCAACATGGACACGAAGGAATGACACTCCACCCTGTCACATAATAAAAGACACACATTTAAAGTTAACGTCATATAGCGAGTAGTGAGAAACAATTTGAAGGACTGTGGTTTCCTTGGGAAAGAATTCACCACCTAGGGGGGAACGCTCAGCACCAATGTAAAAAACGATGTATTGAAGAATAAAGATTAAAGGAAAACTGAACATAAATCTTTAAAATAAATTGTACATAGACTTGGAGAAGTGGACGTAACCCTCCGCTGATTATCCTCAGACAGAACATAAATATGTTTAACGCTGTAGATATAACTCGGACAGTGGACGTAGTCTTCTGTTAATTATTCTCAGACTGAACATGAACCTCAAATGGTGTAAATAGACCTCAGACAGTGTACATAGACTTCGGACAGTAGACGTAACCCTTCGTTGATTATCCTCAGGCTGAACATAGACCCCGCACCGTGTACATAGACCTCAGACAGTGTACATAGACTTCGGACAGTAGACGTAACCCTCCGTTGATTATCCTCAGACTGAACATAGACCCCACACCGTGTACATAGACCTCAGACAGTGTACATAGACTTCGGACAGTAGACGTAACCCTCCGTTGATTATCCTCAGACTAAATATGAATCTCGGACCGCGTGCATAGATATCTGGCAGTGAACGTACATGTAACCCTCCGTTAAATATCATCAGACTGAACATAGACCCCAAACCGTGTACATAGACCTTGGGCAGTGGACGTAGCCCTCCGTAAATTATCCTCAGACTGAACATAAATATTTCATGTTATACATAGACGTCAGGCAGTCGACGTAACCCTCCGTTAATTGCCCTCAGACTGAACATAAACCTCGGACAGTGTACATAGACCTTGGGCAGTGGATGTAGCCCTCCGTAAATTATCCTCAGACTGAACATAAATCTTTCATGTTATACATAGACCTCGGGCAGTAGACGTAACCCTCCGCTAAGTGTCCTCAGACTGAACATAAATCTTTCATGTTATACATAGACCTCGGGCAGTAGACGTAACCCTCCGCTAAGTGTCCTTAGACTGAACATACATCTTTCATGTTATACATAGACCTCGGGCAGTAGACGTAACCCTCCGTTAAGTGTCCTCAGACTGAACATAAATCTTTCATGTTATACATAGACCGAACATAGACCCCCATACCGTGTACATAGACCTCTGGAAAGAGACGTAAGCCTCCGTTAAGTGTCCTCAGACTAAACATATATCCCAGTTCGTATACATACTCGGACTGAACATAAACCTCAGAGTGTGTACACAGTCCTTAGAGAGTGTACATGACACTACATGTATACCTTAGACTGGAAATATAAAGCTGTGACGTTTGTTTATTAATTTTTCATTTGTTCATCTGTTCGAAAAATATATCTAACCGTAGCCATTTTGAATAATCAAGCTGACATATGTCTTTAACTTTTTCGTCTGTTCGGTATCAGTTCCTTTGTCATATTTTTATTGACCATGTGTTGGCCTTAATTACCCCTTCTGTGTTGGTGGGCCGAAGTAAATATCCCTCCAACATTATACATGTCTTTTAGACAGTATAAATATCCTCAATATCTGAATAGACAATATCCAGAAAAACAATTATAATATTTATGTACATCCAATTAATTTGAAATTATATAAATAGTGTATAATTCATCAGTATACATAAAAACATTAAACTGACATAGAATATATAATATATAAATATATATTCATATTCCAGACTATGAATTTAGTCAATTAAGTAGTTTATACTGTAACCTCTATCAGTGTACAGTTAGGATGAGCGATCCATTTGTGTAAAAACACTGATGAGAACTATTGTACAGAAACTATAGACTACTCCACTCATGCACTTAGCAATCAATTCGACGTGGTATTCCAATATCAACCCTCCCCACGCACAGTAGCGCTATTGTTTATATACGTAGTAGCTAACCCGGAAACGGATTGTACGACGCACAGAACAGATTGTATTTCTTTTCTCCTCGCAGACGTAAACCGACCCACAAAGCCAACGGGGTACGTAAAGGAAGTGATACCCGACTGGAATGTTTACCTGAGCTCCACCTGTTCCTTTTCAAAGCGGTCTTTGTTATTTACAAGACGGCAGGTAGCTTCAACTGATTCGTAGAGTTTATATATCTCACAGTTACCGAGGCCGACTAAACGAGTTATGGGAGGGAGGCAGTCCTTCCCTATAGTATCCCTTCCCCGGGATAGGATAGTTATCGTCACTGGAGGAAACACAGGTAAGTTTGTCTTTAAAACGTAGATAGTTATAACTGTCTGCAACACACATGTCGAACCATCAAAACCTCACTTGATTACCAGACAATTATAACTAAATACCTAATTAATTATAACAATATTACTATTTAAACTAAACCGCTGTAGGTCGGGGCTTGTGAACAGAATTTACAGGCGGTTACCTACTGGATGATTTGAAAGAAAATCCCCTGGCAGAGTTATGGATAAAAAATGGTCTCTTGCCTCGCTACTCGAAAGCAACCAAATTTTGAAATCGATTTATTTTCGTCTCTTTTTTGAAATTATTGCATGCATGGCCGAGGGCAAGTTTCTCGAGTATTTCTGACATCTGTCCGTCTCCCATTTTGGCTGAAAAGACAAGCATACAGACTTTGAAACTACAACCACACAATTACAGCACAATGTATGATGAAGCTACACTATAATAAAGGTAGTCCGTCACCAAATATAATGATGTTGCCTCCAAATACAAGAGGCCCAGCTCACCTGGATATCTAAGCAATCATTGCAAAATATTCTCTAAATGAGATTCAAGGGAATAGGCCAGACCCCAAGGCCAATCCTTATAGCACATCTGTATTAGATTTTTCATGCCCAGCAATTTTATGTATGGTCATGGATTGGGGATCTCAACTGTTTCCAAGCTGTGACTCAGAAACTAGGTCCCTAGGATTGTGGCCAGACCCCATGATCAATTCTAATATCATGACTACATTTGTCTCTTTATGCCCATCATTTGTATTTATAGTTTTGGGGTGGANCCCTAATTAATTTTAACAACATTACTATTTACTATTTAAACTAAACCGCTGTAGATCGGGGCTTGTGAACAGAATTTACAGGGTGTTACCTACTGGATGATTTGAAAGAAAATCCCCTGGCAGAGTCAAGAAAAATGATTGTCTCTTGCCTCGCTACTCGAAGGCAACCAACTTTTGGAATCGATTTATTTTTGTCAAAATCGCTTTCGCTGTCTTTTGCCTTTCTTGGTTAGACATTGTTTGCATCTAGTGTTTATCGTTTGTTCAAACGAGTAGATTATTTTAGGATAAGTCCCCGGATAATGACAAGCAAATATACATAGATTGGTTTGGACAGCTCTCGGACCTTTGGTATGTGTCACCAATGTCCGTACGCTGTGACCGGGTGGGGGCTCCTAATACCTTGTCCAGGTTATGATCCTTAAACAACTGACACTTTTATGAGGCCTTTGTGTGCCCTCTCATATGTGAACAACGTCTTTATATGACCTTAGATTTTGTAATGACGTATGACCAGGAAGTCAGCAGTAGATTATTACTGAATTATCAATTAGTCATAGATTTATAAAACGATAATGTCTTGAAATTGATGCCTAATCATTTTCTTTTTAATTTTACAATAAAATATGTTTAAACTTAATTAAACACTGAATTTGTTTCTAAATTAACAGTTAAAAGTTAATATTAAATGTACTTTTATTGTTCAATGTACGTTATTTATTGTGTCGTATTTAGAAATTTCAACAAGTAAAATCATGATCATATGACAACGTTTGTGTTAAAGCCGTTACACCCCGTAAGAAACCTTACGCAAGAAAATAGTTAGTTTCCAAGGTTTTAAAGTACGCTTGTTGAATTGGAATAGATAGTCGCCCGAGTCGAAGGTCTTGTTTTATAGTCTTTATATTACACAGAACAAGCTAGGAAATGACGCCCTAAATGTTGACACAATCACTTGGTTCAATATATGTCATGGATCGTGATGCGAGGTTACACTATCAGGTATAGATGTTCATTGGTAATACTAAAGACCTAGAATTGTATTAAATGCAACATACATTAAATACCCTACTGAACTTCTCAGCATTGTTTGACAGTGAACACGTACCCTAAATCACGATACCGATAAGATGTACTTCTATTTTGGTCTACCCAATATAAATATATACAATTAAATAACTTTTATATCATTTTGATAACACTCTGTTCGTAAGTTCGACACGAATTCTTCCTGACGCCGAGCCCTAAACCCAAGTAAGTCACTAACAAAGACTTCGCAGATTTATGATAAGAATCCCCATGATATCGCCTGTTTCGGTCGTATACAAGAGATACTGGAGATGACACGGTTAGTTTACCCCAAAATACACGTTTGCATACTACATAATCCAAAGCAGCGTGATTCATTTCAGACTGCGGGTTCTATCTGATAACTGTTGTCAGGCACTTATAGTGTATTATTTGCCTCGTGAATTTATTCACTCTGGATTCTATTAAACCATGTGATCATATTTCACATTATACACACAGAGATAGTAATGGTTTGAACAAATTGAAAAAAAATAGATGATTCATTTTTTGTATTCCAAATTGTGTCTGATAACATTATTTTAGATATTTTAATGTATTATTAATAACATTTGTGTATGGTTTTATAGAAATTTGCAGCCAAATTTCACATTATCTGCACAATGGAGACAATTCACTTTTGTCTCCCCACTCGGCCGGACAATGATAAAAATGTCATTTTAATGGACGTCCGATTTCTATGTCGATTACAAAAATACATCCATTATAACAATACAAAGGCCCAAATGAGATGTAAATATACATTCTGTGTAACACATGTATCATGTCCTTCGCTGACTCATTGAAATGATAAAAGGTGAATGAGTTTTGTCCGGTTTTATCTTATTTGCTTGCTCAAGAACAGCAGTATATTAAAAGTATTACTGATACCTAGGACCGAACATGTCAACTATTTTAGTGATTAGTTTGGTTTTGTTATATTTTTTTTAATGTCCTTTTCTTAATTAAGGTCATTCAAAGACGTGCCACTATGTGTTTTATGTATGAGTGCGTGTGTGTATGTGTGCTGGATGAGGATATTTGATGTATTTGCCTCCTTGTGATAGCACGGATCTGATGCCAACCTTGGAGTGCAATCTCACTGCAACGTCATATCAACAGCTAAGGACATTAAAGGACACGTCTCCATGTGTGTTGCGTAGCATGCATGCGTGCCGGAGACGGGGTATGTTGGTGTACTTGCCTCCTTGTGATAGTGCGGATCCGATGTCGACTTTATAGTGCTATCACACTGAAATACCATGTCGAAGGCTCCTAGCACAGAATTTAGCCCGGTTACATTATACTGACAACGGGTGAACAAGTTGTCGGCATTCCCCTTAATACTGGGCTGATCAACAACTAACTAACTATCTATTATACACTTATGTAGTCGGGTCTCTGACCACCGGCTGTCGTGTTCGCTTATAAAATACCTCGATGTGTCAGTAAAGGAAACAGGTTCTGACTGAGGACGTGGTGTAATAAACATACTATGAATTCATGACAGGAATGCAATTTTGCATTTACAGTTTTAAACAAAATATTCAGCGACCTAAAAAATAAATATGCCATTATTAAGCAAGTAATGAAAACCGAATATCAGACTTATTTCAGACCGAGATAAATAATTGAAAACTTCTACTCAGGAAATGTTACAAAACAACGTCTTAAAATTATTACCAAACTATTCAAACAATACAAAACTACTTTGACAAATATAACAATAGTGTTTATTTGAGCGGAATCCAAATAATCGAAGCCCTTCAATTAGAAGAATATCTTATGTTCGAAATTTTCATATTTGTGAAACTAAAATTGATTTTGAAAATATTTACAATCATAAAACCACACTTCCTAGCTGTCGTATTCACGACTCGGATAAAACGTTCGTCTAGCATATGATACATTGCACATTACGTATAGATGAAAGGGTGGGGAGCTTCTACCCTGTGACCTTCTAAGGAAGCACACACTCGTATCGCTGTCGATAACAAATGACCTATTTACTCTTTTTAATAAGTGCAGGTATATATGTAAATATAAAGGTACAAAGGAGAATTAATCCTACCGATGAAGTTATGTAACTGGAATTGTGTGTCCTAGGCACAGTTGCTAAGCGTGAAATAGGTTGTCTCGACTTCAGCTAGACAGCAGGGGAGTGTTCTGCTAGCTCGGGATAAACACTGGTACAGCTAGGAAGGAACCCTGCGTCAATACGCAATGCATCGAGATTATAAACGGGCTTACCATCTGTTTCTACTCTAGTGAGAAAACAAACAAACGGTTTCCGATCAATCACCGATGTTACGTTCGACAACAGGCAGCACAGTTCGGTACTGAAGACCACTCAATTTGTTTTAATAGAATTATATGCAAAAATACTAAAAATGCTAATTCCCAGCCCTGATTGGAGGAGGAAACGTCATGTGACGAGTCTGTAAATATGTTACAGACCTCGTTCTATGAATAGAAAAGTGTTACAGACCGCTACTAAAAATAAGCCTAGGTAATTTCCCAGACAGTCTGTGATTCTGTTACCAATCACACTACTGAATTCAGCTACAAATTAATTGTTACAGACCTCTCTGAACTATGTGAATATTGATGATGTTGATTGTGCAAATAATATTTACTTGAAATTAAATATCACATGAATTGAATCTGAAATTAAATTTGTGTGCATGCTATTTAGTATTTGAAGTGCTTCACTCTGTGATTCCAAAATGGTCAATGCCATCCGTGTTTTTATGAGTTGAAAAATTATTAACCTCACTGTAAAATGCCATATAATAAAACAGTTGTGGACTTCAGTTTCGGTCTATCCCTGATTTACGGACCTTGTCTGAACAATATTCACCTCGGTTTTCGGCTTCTGTGAATATTGTTCAGACCAGGTCCGTAAATCAGGGATATACCTCACCTGAAGTCCATAATTGTAAAATATTGTAAAAAATCCATAGCAGTAGCAACACCAGGAAAGGGACTAGTCTTCGCCTGCATTGAAGGAATTAGACATTTACAAATATACACCCCTGTAACTAGACATGTATACAGCAAAGTACGTGCGGAGCGAAAACATTTGTATTATGTACCCGACTTTCTCTACACACTACTTTCATATAGTTTCGTCTTTGACATTTCACTTATAC